CTTGGTGTCATCTGCAAACTTGCTGAGGGTGCACTCGATCCCACTGTCTATGTCATTGATGAAGATACTAAACAGTACCCGTCCCAGTACGGACCCCTGCGGGATGCCACCCATCACCAATCTCCATCTGGACATTGAGCCGTTGACCACTACCCTCTGGATGCGACCATCTAACCAATTCCTCACCCACCGGACAGTCCACCCATCAAACCCATACCTCTCCAGTTTAGAGAGAAGGATGTTGTGGGGGACCGTGTCAAAGGCCTTACAGAGGCCCAGATAGACAACATCTGTACCCTTCCCGTGTCCACTGATGTAGTCACTCCATCATAGAAGGCCACTAGATTAGTCAGGCAGGACTTGCCCTTGGTGAAGCCATGCTGGCTGTCTTGAATCGCCTCCCTGTCCTCCACGTGCCTTAGCATAGCTTCCAGGAGGATCTGTTCCATGATCTTCCCAGGCACAGAGGTGAGACGGACTGGCCTGTAGTTCCCCGGGTCTTCCTTTTTCCCCTTTTTAAAAGTGGAGGTTATGTTTCCCCTTCTCCAGTCAGTGGGAACTTCACCAGACTGCCACGACTTCTCAAATACGATGGATAGTATCGTATTAGATAGACTTCTATCGTATTAGACTTCTCAAATACGATAGATGGAACATCAAAATATATTAATAAAATTTCTATAAAGATATTCTTAGGATTTTACGTGAAGACAAAATAGGAAATTTGAGAGCTATAGAAATCATGTAGTTTTAGCATTCATAAGAAAGTTGGTGGGGTTTTTTTTTAATAGCTGGAACAGCTTGCGGGACCCACTAATGCCTTGAATGTGCAAGCGGTAGCGCATGCATGCTTATAGCAGGGCTAAAAGACTATCGCTGCAACTATACTGCGAAAACGTTACAGGAAGTGTTTTCTTTTTCTCAGGCATATTTCAGGAGCAGATCTCTTTCTTTGCGCGAGCTATATCTATAACCATTACTGCGACTGCAAAGACCAGCACTACTACCTATCAGGAGATAAAATCAATGATGTTCTCTGCCTTCCTGTAGATAAAGTGAATTGCATTACGCCGGTACTTGCATGTCAGGATAGAGTCCTCAGAGTTTTACAGGTTAGAATACTTGCTTCTTTATGTTTTATGTATCGATGCCATAGAATTGGACTGATTCTTAAGGGAATCAGCATATCAGCATGGCTTAAACATCATAAGGATAAGCATATTGTATTTTACTTGGCAGTGTTACTGTCTATAATGCTGGTACTTTTTTTTTTTAAAGGAAAACAATTATTATTAACTTGCAAAATGAGGATTAATAAAACCACTATAAATAGGCTTTGGAATTCATAGGTGAAAGTAGATAACAAATTGGTCCCTTTTAACTGGAAGTGCTCATATAAGGGAATTAAATGTGTCTTTATCAGTTTGGAAATTCTTGCTCTCACAAATTACTGTTGCGACAAGTCAGAGTGATATTCAGTGGTTTAACAAATTTATTTGCCAGACAAATTTGCAGATTATTTTTAGTAACAACACCACATTTCAAGAGTCCTATGTTTTATTTATATAAACTTCACCCTGTTTTGGCTTAGAAATGGTACTGGGAGTTTGTATAAGTGAAACATATCCGTTACTATTATCCATAATAATTTTGTCCTCATGCTGTCTATAATGCTGGTACTTTTGTGGTGGTTTTTTGTTTTGGTTGGTGTGGGTTTGTTTTGTTTGTTTGTTTTACAAAACTCATTCAATATAGTTCTCTTTGTCTTTAGGGATCTGATTTACTCTATGAGGTAGAAGTTCCTGGACCACCTACTGTTCTTGCGCTAAGCAATGGAAATGGGGGTAACAAGATTTTGAATATACACATAACTAAATAATGTTATTTTACTAGATTTTTAAGATTTTATTGCTTGTATTTGTTAATTACATTTTTGCCTTGATTTTTAAGCTGATGTTAAAAATGCGGCAGAAGACTGACTATGGGAAGTCATTTCTTACATACAAATAAATATACACACACACGTATGACTGTTTTAGACAGTTCTAAATTATGTTCACGTTTAATTGAAAGCCTCTTACAAGAGCAGCGAGATATAAGATGGTCTCATTGTGTAAATATGAACTGGACTTTTGGGGGCCTTGTCAAAGTTCTGGGTTTGGGTTTCTCTTATACATGGATTTCCGTAACTAGAGTCGCTAGTTGCACCCGTCCATGGATGGATGAGAATATTGAGTAGAGCTCACATAAAGAGAGACTGTGGAAGGATCAAGCTTAAAATAGTTTGATCATCCTTCTTGCTAATCTGTTCTAACCTAATAGAAATCGCTTTAGTGTGTTAAGCTGGTGCTTAATTTAGTTTCGGTTAGATTGTGTGACAATGACATTCAGAGCTGGTTTGGAAAAGTAGTTCTTACTTGCTTAAATATTGGCACAACACCCATTACTGGATGCGTGTTCTGAATGGGTCTCTTCGTTTCTCTTCTCTAAAGGCGATTTAATAGCCTATCTTTGCTGAAATTTTGAAGTATTGGGTTATGAATGGTTTTTAGGCAGAACTCCAGTGCAGGGGGGCATTCATACACGGAAGAGTGATAGCCACGAAGAAATTATCAGAACAGGTGCAGTTCTCATGTATTTGTTTTTGTTTTTAAAGCCTGACAGTTCTGTTACACAGCACTAATGTTAGTATTTTCTTTTTCCCTTGGGCTGTAGAGTGTAACTACACAGGACTTTCAAATTTTTTAAATTGGTGTACTTGATTTTATTGATTCTAAATTCAGTTTATGTGTTTAGGTGATTCTGGAGAAGAAATTGTGTATGGAACCTCTGATGGTAAACTGGGTCTTATCCAGATTACTGGTTCCAAGCCTATACCTAAGTGGGAAATTGGAAATGAAAAGAAGAGAGGAGGTATGCGTCTCAATCTCTCACTCTTTAGCTTTCCAGCATATATGAGGCTTTATTACAAGTATAATAATCAGGAAATCTTATTCATAGATACTTTGGAGGCATACTGTAGTTATGTCAGTATGTGATACTAATATGAGGAAGCTCTCTTTCATTCTTCTGGTTTTCTTATAAATAGTTCTAATCAGTTGGTCTTGCTTTGGCTTTTCTGTTCATATTATTCCCAGTACTTTAGTATACTTTTGTTTTTACAGTATTTTTAAAGTGACGTTTGTAAAACAGTGTATTCACATATGATTACTTGAGGTTTTTACCATTTTGGTGGCTATTTCTAAGTGCGAATATACCTGCCAGATTTTTCAGATGTTCAGTGGTCTTAAAGTCTCTTCAGAGGAAAGGTTAGCATCTTCCCTGCAAGACATTTTTTCTTCTTTTTTTTTAAAAAGACAATGTTATTTTTATAAAAAAGCCACGGGCTTTTGTCAGAAGATGAAATAAGGCTTTCATTAAAGCTCCACAATGAGGCTTAACTGATCAGAGCATAGTACGACACTTTCCCTCTTTTAGCCTTGGTATGCTGCTTCTGCAGCATCTGTTCGCCCATACTCCTTTATAAAGGAGAAGACCAGGGATAGAAAATATATGGTTTTTTTTTTAATTTAATTATCTCATAACAGCTATCGCTGAATTATTTTCTTAAAATGCTTCCTAGAATATCCTTACTCTTCATACGAAATATGAAGGAGTCACAGAAGGTAAATTCCATCTCGTTTTTCATATTAATTCTTGTACAAACTCTCTCACTGCTTTTTCCTTCTTCCAGACACTAACTCTTTTTCCTGTCCAGACATGAATAGTTGTCGTAGGCTGGTTCCACATGTGCTAGTAGTGGATCTGTCCACTAACGTGTCAAATAGCAGTACCTAGTCCAGGTCTGACACAAGTCAGAACCCTCTTTCTGTCGCCTTGGCCAGAATTCATAGTAGTCCATTTACCAATAGCTTTAAGTCAATTATAGGAAACAAAGAATGCTTGCTTCTTCAACTGGCAAAGTTACAGTAGTGTGAACAGACAAATAGTTCATCTGGGGAAATGTTTGACGGGGGAGGGTTAAACCCCTCAAAAGTAAGCTATTTGAACATCAGAAGGGGTCTCTGTTCAGTGCTTTTCACCAAGGGAACGGTGGTGGTTTTGATTTGGAATTGGTTGCTGTAAAACCCACTGTGCCATCTTGAACCTCAGGCACAGGTGAGAGACTTCAGCCCTCTGGTGGACTCATCCAGAAATAGCATTAATAAAGCCTTAAAAGCTGACCGAGAATCTCTTTCTATGTAACTGAACGTGGCCTGTGTATTATTGTGTCATAAACGAATAAAGATGAAGTAAACGGCCTTGTTTTCTTTCTCATTAGGTATCTTATGTATTGATAGTTTTGACATTCTGGGAGATGGAGTTAAAGAATTACTCGTTGGACGAGATGATGGAATGCTAGAAATCTATAACTTTGAGAGTGCAGATGATCCTGTTCTTCGATATGATCATGTAAGCCCACTTTCATTATACTCTTCTTTGCTGGAAAAATGAATTTAAAAAAATATAATCTGTATTTCAAAACTTAAAAGTATTTAAAAGATCATTACTGCTAAAATGTGTGGGTTTGTTTTTAATTTGATGAGCTCTGTAATGTTGACAATATAAACTTCAAAGCAGTGTCCTAATATTTAAGAGCCAGAAAGTGAAATAGTCCTGCTTTAAGCAAAAATCAAAATAGTGTAGAGGGTATGTTAAAGTTCTGGCTCTGTTGACTACTGAAGTCTCTCCTGAGTGCAACCTAATGCAGTGCTTCTCTCTCAGTGAAAAAACAACCCCATGTTTTGTATAGTCTGTGTTTTACATGTAAAATAATAAATGTAAGTTCTCAGGACTTTACTGAGCATAATTACTTCGGTTATGAATTGTTTAAAACAGTAGATTTGATCTGTAGTGATTATTTCAGCCTTCAGTCAGATTGCTAATTCCTGCTAGAAAAATATTGCCCATTGGTGTTTTGCTTTAAACTGCTTTTTAATGTCTTTGTTATGCAGAGTAGAATCGGAATGCATTTGTTAAAACGCCCCAATTTAGCTGTGATAGTCATCAGCTAGCTTACTCTTTTGTAGGTCTAGATATTGTACATCTATGTAGGTATTTCGTGATGCAGGTAAAAGGAGGAGCGCAACCCTTAAAACCCCCACAAAAACCCCCAACTTCTAAAATGAGTGCAGTGATATTTCCCTCTTCTTGAATGTATTTATTTGAAGGCTTTATCAGAGAGCATTGCATCAATCCAGGGTGGCTGTGTAGGAAAAGATGGGTATGATGAAATTTTAGCATCCACGTATTCAGGTAAGCTTCATGTCATTTACTCAATAAATGTGGCATATGGTGATGCGGTAAAAACGAAGCAGGCTATGTTGTTAGTGCAGCTCACATCTCTTAACGTTTTTGTTCTGATTGAAACCAGGATAATGTTTTGTGGGAAAAGATCTCTTCTAATTTAATATTTACACTCCCAAAAAAATGTTTCCTACACTTAAACTATGTTTCTGTATTTTAAGATATTCATAATGTGTTCCGCTGTCTAACACAGCGGCTGGTTATTCTCTGGTGTAGACTGCTGCCTAACTGTGGTGAAATAATGAGTATGTTACGTCCGAAGGAATGATTTATGATTTTTTTGTATTAAAAATATTGATAGACATGCATATCTGTTTGTTTGTTTTCTTGTCTTTTACGTGGTTTCCTTCCTTTTCAGCTTCAAAGGGCTTTAAACGGGGTTGATTTTGCTTTTAGTAGAAAATAAAGATTGCCCATGTGAGCCCCTCTGCAGGATTCAAGCTGTTGGCCTGACTGTCACAGAGGCCGTGATAAACATGCTGCATATGTTAACTGCTGGGAGCTAAAATATTGCTAATTCTCTATCTTCGGTTATTTTCAGTGCTAAAAAATTAGCCTACTGAAACCTCTCGTATTCAAAATCATGTATTTTGGCAAGATACAATTCTCAGTTATCGAGAAGTAATGGTGTTCACGTACCTCTTCTAAATAGTCTTTGGACGATTAAAAGACTCTTGCACCTCACCTCATATGAATTGTTTTGGTATGACAGGCTGCAGCAATACTGCAGCCAAAGTCCTCTGTGGCTTCTTTTAGTGGGAATGTTATAAAGATCCATGAATCATAGAAGAAAGAAAACAGCGAAAGCTGTTCACCTCTGGGTTTTCAAAGGTAAACTCTGGTAGGATGTGCGGTACACTGAGTTTGGTGGGTTTTGGCAGATCAGGAAAAGTAGTGCTTAGGGCAGTAAAAGTTACATTTCATGCCTGGCAGCATAGGACTTCTGTGGATTTTTTAAAGTTCATGCTCCATTGTTGGGCTTTCTTGGTACTTGAAGTAGATAGCTACGGAATGTCAAAGATTGTGGACAAGCCAGCTTTTATGGTGCATTTTATAATAATGCTATCTTACTGTTTGCATGCATTACGTGAGGTAACTAGAGCTATCAACACCCATTCAAATCTGCATGTCGTACCTGAGGTTTCAGGATGGAATCAATTAGTATTTGCCTTTATAAGTAGATAGTAATTAAGTAAACAAAAAAATTTTTTTTTCACTTCAACCGTCAGCATTCAATCTCAAAGCACATTGTGCAACATATAGTTTGCTATAAACACATTGCACAGCTTTCTGTTTTGTTTTGAGCTATAGTACTGCAAAGTATTCAAGGTTTTGTGAGAGAAAGAGGTGGGAAAAATTTTAAGAGCTCGGTTAAAAAATACCGCAGAAGGATTTATTGCTCGAAGTACTTGATGAAAAAGAACAAGTAATGTTTTCCAATCTGTAAGTTAAGAATGAAACCCATGAAAAAAATCATGCTCGGTGTCTAGATTAATCCTTCAAAGAAAGGATTAAAGTCTCGATTCTCTCTATCTGGTATCTGGAACAAACATCGCTCCACGCTGAGTGTAGCTGAGCGTAGACTTTCGTTCTTAGCTTATAAGGAATAAAAACTTCATATATTGGTTTAGGCTGGCTGACAGGACTGACTACAGAACCTGTCCATAGAGAAGATGGATCAGGTGAAGAACTAAAATTAAGTCAAGAAATGCAGAGCAAGATTTCATCCTTAAGGTAATTGCACTAGAAAGAAATTTAAATGGAAGAATTGAAATGTTAAAAGCTGAAATGTCATCTTTCCTTCCTATCTCACTGGATTTTCTGTATCGTTAATGTATCTGGAAGTAGAATCAAGCCTTTTCAAACCAGAAATGAATGGCAGCCTCATTTCACAGTCTTTCTATCTTGCCTTCACATGATGATGTCTTAATGCCTTCTTCCTCAGTATCAGCAAGATAAGATTGCCTTCTTCCATGCTGCTTATAGCTTCTAAATGATGGGAGGAAAGTAGTCACTAGCATGTAATTCAAAATGCATTGTACTCTTGCAGGGAAAAACGTCATCCTTTCCTGTGACTCATCGAAATCCCTTTTGGCAAAGTACAGTAGAATCTACATTTTCATGTGATATAGTTTATATTTTGTTTGTTACGTGTGTGGGAGTCACCGGTCACTTCTGGTTGGAAACTTGTGGACAGAAGATAAACATGATTGCCTTGCAAACTTGATCTACTTAATTTCTAGGGTAGCTTTTATAGTTTTTTTTCTTAAGACATTATATGTGGCTTCCCTTTTCTAGGAATGAATTGGAACACTTACAGATGAAAGTACTTCAGGAACGTGAAAAATACCAGCAGTCTTCTCAATCCAGTACTGCTGTTTCATCAGTACCTGCGTTTAGTGTGAATGATAAGTTTACCTTAAATAAGGATGATGCTAGCTACAGCCTCATCTTGGAGGTGCAGACAGCTATAGATAATGTCCTGGTACAGGTGAGTGTGGTTTTGTTCTTGTTGGCTTTCTTGATAACTAAATAAAATATTCAGAGACTTTCTAGTTTAAAAAGCTGAGTTATAATATCTTAAGTATATGAGTTTTTAAATGTCTGAATTGTTATAAGAGAGAATTGAAGCGTATAGCCTTGCAATGTTGAAGTAACTGTTGTAAGTGCTTGTTAGGGAACAAACACAACTTAAACCTTTATTGAACAGAGCAACGTTATGCTGCGAAAATAGACCAAAACACCTGCCGTACTAGCAGGTTTCTACGTAACTTCTGTGTTTGCTTTTGCATATCCCTCCCTATTTAAGCAGCAATTAACTCAGTAAGTCTTAAATGAGGTGCCGATTCTCACTCGCCAGTTAAGTACCGTCTGTAGTGGAAAATTAATTTTAGAATGATATGGGCCACCTGCGCACTTTCAGCATGGAACAGTGTCTGATTTGTGTGCAATTGGTGATAAATACTCCTGCCAAGTAGAACAACCTTAATTAGTTATTCCTCCTACTGCATCAGCTGAAATGAATGTTATCTTTGGTAGTCAGAAAGAGTAGCGGTACTGAATTACCTTCTTTTGGGATAAGCATGGGGAGAAAAATTTGACAAGGAGGAATTTGTGAGGTGACTTTGCCATAACAAATGGGAGAGAACTACTGTAGGATTTTATTTTTCACTTACTTCTTAATAAAAATCTCATTTTTATTAAGGATGTTATGAGAGCAATGCTAAGCTACAGCTAATACGCAGCTCTCTAGTATCTGCTCTTTCCATAGCTAAGTGAGGAATAATGAAATTGTTTAATCTAGCTCTGAACTTAATGGAGCATTTAGAACTTAGGGCTTTTTATTTGAAGAAATACAAAGCAGTATCTGGTATTCCTCTGCTGTGAGAAGACAATAAAACTGTTTTTAAAATATTTTTTTAGGAAGTATGTTGCATATTTATCAATGTTTCCTGACACTTCTGTGAAGTCATAAAGCAGCACCAAATCAAGTAATTAATCATTCTAATACCCTTTAATCTCATTTTTAAAACCGTGTTAGATTTGATTTTAATTCCAGTGAAAACACATCTAGATAAGAAGTGGTCTGTGTCAGAAGCGTTATTGTAAGTAAAAGGTTCATTAATAAGTATGTAATATGATCCTTGGTTTCCTGAATGAATACTGTAATCCCCCTATTACAACAGGGAAACACTTCAATCATGAATATACTTCATGCATATGAACGAAGTATACTTTCATGTCTGAAAGATAGTTACATGTCTTAGACCGAAGCTGTCGTAAGCCAGCCACACAAGAGTTCAGGACTCCGTAAGAAAGTAAGAGAATGATCATCATGTTACTCCAGGATTAAGTAGTAAACTGCGTGTCTGTTCGGCTTTTACCCCTTGGATGAAGCAATCGTTGCCTCTCCCTTATTAAAATAATCGATGACAGTTAGAGGATAAATGCATTAGAAGCTACTCAGGAACTTAAAGCTCTTTATTTTTCCTTCCTCACATGTTCTGCAGAGTGATGTCCCAATAGACTTGCTGGATGTGGATAAAAATTCTGCTGTTGTTAGTTTTAGCAGCTGTGATTCTGAGGTAAGTGAAACAAGAGATAGTATTTATAGAGATCACATGATGAAAGCTCTTAATACTGTATATTAAAAATAGAATTTGGATTTATATATTTGTAATTTTAAATATATTGAGTTAAACTACTCATTGGTAATTTTGGAGAGCTCAGCTTCATTAGAGATACTGCAGAATTAGGAGTTAGCGGCAGGTCCTGACATAAGGCAAAGCTAAATATGTGCGAAAGGATCCAGGAGCAACTGCTCTCTTGCTTTTTTTTCTGCCTGGTCAGGAATGTGAAAGACACATTCAGTATTGCTCTCTTCCCTGGATTTGCCAGTATCACGTGTATCTACTTCAAAGTAATTTTAGGTGAAGAACGTTGTATTTCTTACTTAGTTCGTCTCTTAAAAATCACTTTAGAACATGCAAATTCTGCTGTGTGGGGAGTCATTTGTTTAAGTGCATTTTTTTATATAATAATTATAAACTTAAATACTTACAGAATTACTAATGATGCTTAGGGCTGGGGGGGAAATCCAGAAACTACGTTAGCATGATGAAAACCTTCTGTGAAGTCGTCTTCTTGTAACGGTCCACTAAGTATTTTAGTTTTAAGAACTGAATTTGCACATCATTGGTCTACCCTGGAGCTTTCAGAAATCAACTTTTTATTTTAAGTTTCTTGTCGTTTATGATTAATTTAGCTTTTTTTTGGTGTGTTTTCTTAGTGATCTTACTTTAGTTTTTGGATGTTGGACTAATATTGCAGATGAGTGGGGCAGGCTGGCGTGTATTCTTCAGATGAAAAGTAGATATCTATGTAATTTTTATGGTGGTATTAAAGAGTATAAGAAGCTTCAGTTGATTTCTCCTTATATAGAGAAATTTTTAAAATTCTACCATAATTAAAATTAATTGGAATATTCAAGGGAACCAAAGATTACTTTTTTGTATTAACTTTTATAAAAGAGCTGTACATAAATAGCAAAAACTTTATTGTACATGTCTACAGTTAAAACAGACCAGTGGAACTTTTGTGAATCCACAGACCTGTTTTGTACTATTTTTCTGGTTTTTTTTCTGTTTACAGCCAAATAGCAACTTTCTTCTTGCGACTTACCGATGCCAAGCAAATACTACGAGACTTGAACTTAAGGTAAAATGCTCCAAGATATTTTCCATAATAAATTAATGGTTACGTAGATGTCTGCTTAGGAATGGAGAGATCTCTACCTGGACTGACTGTTTAGCCTGAGCAAATGATCAGTCCGACTTCTACTGCTGTTTTTTTCCTGAGAACCTTCTAATCTGGGGCTTGTGTTCCTTTATATTTGTCTGTAGGGTTTCTAAAGGCTTCTAAAAAATGTGTTACTTCAGAGGAGAGCCTGGGGTCCTTCTTGAGTGTCCCTAAGATGAAAGCAGTGGGGAAATCACAGATTGTGAAAATACTTGATTCTGGAGACAGCGTGTGGAACTTAAGGCGGAGACAGGCATGGGAAAGCAAGCTCTGGCACTGTTTGTCCTCAGAAGCGTGTGAAGGAAGTTTACGCTGGGAAGTAACCAGGGAATATAGGCTGGATTTGTACTTTGGAGAGGAAGCAAATCCGGTCTTTCTGTGCTGCTTATACTGACGGCACGTGGGTGTTTTGGGGTTTGTTTTTAACGATCCACCAAATTCACACGTTTTGTGGCTATCACCAGAGGAAATAATGAAGGAAATCACAATTAGGAAAATCCTCACCATGCACACAGGCTCCAGGTTTTCTCTTTATGTAGTTACCTAACACTGCAGCCTCCTAATCTGATAGGTGTTTATTTATGTAAAACTCTCAGTCCAAAGAGTATCATTAGAAATTTAAGTCTGCATAAGAAGTATCAAATGTGGGGAAGCTGGGGGTGGTTATCTTTTTTTGTGAAGTCACAATAATGGACCTAGTGTGCAGAATTAAGAGTCTTTATTTCCCAGGTTGCCTTCTTAAGAAATGCTATGAGTGTGCTTATTGGTTCTGAGCAGGTCACTTTATCTCTCTGTGTCTCAGTTCTCTTATTTTAATTTAGGGATATGACCCTGGCCACCTTTAATACTGAAAATGCTCGGTAAAGAGTAAATAACACAAGAAAAATGAATCAACTGCATTCATTATACACAAAAAGAGGGTTTTTTTTACTCTCCCACTAAAAACATTTATAAACTTCCTGTTGTGTGTCATCAAGAGACTGTACTATCACTCTTGCATTTGGATCCTGATGTGACGAATTCGATCTGCACAGGTTCTACTGCCACCTTGCTGCAACACATTGAGGATCTCCAGTGATTTACACCTGCCACGTGGAGTTCATTCTCTTCTTGTATTCCGTCTATGCACATGCAGACAATACGACTTTTAAGTCTTGGGGATTTTATTTCCAAAGAGAACTCTTTACTCATTTTTTTTAAAAACACTGAAGTGGATGTCTTCCTGCAAAACACTGCTTTCTGAGTTCTGAGACCCTATAAAATAGGGGACATAAGGTTATAAAGCAAACCTGTACTCGAACTCCAGTCCGCTCTTTTGTTTGTTTAAAGCTGTTTCAGTAGCTCTTCTGCCTGCTTTCACGGCTGTGTTGGTGCTGTAGGTGGGACACTCCTGTTTCTTGTCAATTCTGTGTGAGTGGCAGACTTCTTAGTGCAGTCTGGGTAACTGGTCTCAGCAGAGAAGTGATTGATGCATTGCTGTGTCCTCAGGTGTGGAGAGTTTGTACTGTGTCTTGAATGTGTTTGTACCTCCTGCTTGTTGGGTCATCTGAGACTTGAACTTAAATCTGGCCTCTTACTTTTCCAAAAATAGCTCAGGAAGAACTGTGATTGTTATGAAGAGATGGACACGTATTTTGAAATTCAGTTTACTTTCTTGAATTCTCTGATCTATTCTTTGCTGCCAACTGCTACAGAATGTATTTTTTCCTTAATTTAAAAAAAAAAAAGTAATGGGGCCACTAACAAATTAGAAGCAGGTTACAGACGTTTTATTTTAACTGATCAGAAAGTATGTTCGTGGCTTTTATTTTCTTAATATTCTGTTCATCTAATATAGCAGCATTTCATTGGACGCTACTTCCTCCGGTTTTAAAACATTCTTGATCTGCTCTATTTATAGTGGCACTATCAAGTAAATATAGTGCTCTAAATATTCTTGAAGTACTATGGTCTTTCTTTAACATATTTTGATTTTCCAAAACACGGTAAATTAATCTTTTCCCTTTTGTGTGTTTTTTTGTGTGGGTTCTGCTTTTATTTCTGCAGGTTCGATCGATTGAAGGACAGTATGGGACACTGCAAGCATATGTAACTCCAAGAATTCAACCAAAAACCTGCCAAGTTCATCAATATCAAATTAAACCACTTTCGCTTCATCAGAGAACTCATTCTATTGACCATAACAGGTATTTGCAGAGAAAAATCACTGCCTTTTTCTCTTGAAAAACTGACACAATCCAGTGGAAACAATGTTTGCTCTATAAACTTAAGTATGTCATTTCTAACCCCTAACCTACAATTTTGGGCCTGTAGTTCCATTTTATGGGTTTTCTGACAGAAAATGCGGATTTAATGGGTTCCTGCTTATCCTTGTTTCCCGGTTATTTTTCATTTTACTGACCTGGGTTATAGTGCAGCCCCATGTGTTAGTAGAGCTGAGGGTGTGGTAGAAAGGAAACTTCTGTGTTAGTAACCACAGTCTTTTCAGTTTCAGCCTCATTCTCCCCTCCACCCTTTTAATGTAATTCTTTCCCGTAGCTAACTTAGCTCCAAAACTGAGCCAAGACGTTTCCCGCCCCCTCCTCTCTGTTAGAAACCTGGTATTTCATGCAATTTCTACTTGATTTTTCCCCACCCTCAGTTAACATCTTGTATTGCCACCGAGGTATTGCTTGCTTCAGAACAAAACTGAAAGATGGAAGGAATGATACGAAATGCTTCAGTGTGCAAATGAGCTCCATTATGCCTCGTTCTTGATATAAATGCTATGTCTGTGGTTTACAGCGTGGGAGACTGTTGAGGCTCTTAGTCGTATTTGCTGTGTTGTCAGTTATTTACCTTTGTCATAAGTTTCAGGTTTAACAACCTGAAACGGGCTATGTCAAAAACTTCCACCTCGCTTCTTATCCAGTTCTGACATGCCTACTGGGAGATAAAACTTGAATGTGCGCATAGCTTTTTGTCTTGAAATACAGAAAAGTAGCTGTAAGCTGCAATATGTAGCTATTTAGCAAGACACCTGACTTCTTACAGGGTGTTGATTAAAAGGAAACCACCATGTGGAAGTAAACTTTTTTTCATATGGATAACCGGTGCACTGACAGTGCCCCTCCTTCGTAACTATTAACTTCTTTTTTTTTTTTTCTTTTTTTTAATATATTTCCTAATGTCATAGACCCATGAATACACTGACGCTCAAAGGCCAGTTCAGTTTTGCTGAAATTCACTCGTGGGTTGTGTTTTGCTTGCCTGAGGTGCCTGAGAAGACTCCCGCTGGAGAAAGTATCACCTTTTATTTTCAGAACACCTTCCTGGGTACACAGCTTGAAAGTACTTACAGGTAAAATACAATTACTGAAGCGCAATGTGACTACGCTGGGGCTTTTGTCCCTTTCATTCTTGACCAGTCGGCAAGTACCATTTCACGCACATACTACTGTTCACCTCTCCACCCTCAGCCCCATCAAAACTCCCATTAAAGAGAAGAGGAATCTTTCTTAAAAAGGATTGTCAAACATTACCAGGGCTGAGCGCTACCCAGAAATGATGCAATCTGTAACCTGAATAGGGTTTTTCTTGAAGTTGGTCCAAAAAACAAAATTGCCAGGGAGGAAAGGCTTGGTATATTTTTAAGATGATGGCTTGCTTTTAGAATGTAAAGAACATAGCTAACTAATGTAGTGAAATTATTGTGTAATGCCTATTGTCTTCTAACTTCCTTTTTTTTGTATTGAGGAGCAGAAATAACTTAAAAGGCATTTAATACTCATGCAAACAAAAATGTGATGAGCGTTAAGCTGAAAACCTTCTTTTTCTGCAATTTTACATTAGGCAAATATTATTTCTGTGTTTAAGGTTAATACTCTGTTCTCAAATTAATTAGTTATATCTTCCTTCAGCAAATTATGTACGTCCACCTGAAAATGGAACTGTAAAATGGGGAGAAATTAAATTGTTGTAATTACAGATTCCAGCCTGCTCCCAGCCTACCATACGTGGTGTCTGCTCATAATGTAGGAAGTTGTTGGGTGGCATTTTTTCGGGGGGGAGGGGAGAGTGTTTTTTCTCCCTTCTGATATTGAAGCTTGCTGTTTGGCTTCAAGGTATTGCAATGATAAAACTTAGGAGGAATGAATACAATCAGAAATCTTACTTGTATAACCTTAGTGCCATACAATAAAGATAACTGCTCTGTGTATACCTGAGATTTGTGCATACTGCTTTGTCTTATTTACTGGAGCAAACTGTTCTCCGTCGGGATTACACTGGGAAGGAGGGGATAGCATAGGCGTGTGTACAGTCACCTGATATACGGAGAATCGTTATGATCTTTATAAAGTTTGCTTTCTTTGATTTGGGCATTAATTTACAGGCCTTCTGTTTTAACGTAGGGACAAATCTAATGCATGCATGTGTGTTTAAGTTTGTTCATTTAAAGTTTTTCTTCCTTTATAGAAAAGGTGAGGGATGTTTTAAGTCTGACAACATTTCTACAATATCCATCCTAAAAGACGTACTTTCCAAAGAGGCCACTAAAAGGAAGATTAATCTCAACATATCATATGGTAAAACTATCTTCTCTATTTTCTTGTCCTTGACTTCATTTTATACTCTTATCAATGGAATACATATCATTCATTTGCTTGTTGGGTTTTTTTTGACTCCCTGCTAGACATAAATGAAGAATCTGTGAGGCACACATTAAAGCTTATCCACCCTAAGTTAGAGTATCAGCAGCTGTTGGCCAAGAAGGTCCACTTAATAGATGCCTTGAGAGTAAGTATCTGCACTGCCGTGGAAGGGTTTTTATGGGGGATTACGTTGTCAGATACCAAGCTGTAGGGCTCAAGTCAGATGGGTGTCATGCCGGTATCTGTTCCGTTTCTATTCCCAGGACATGTATTCTAATTATCCAGGAGACAGACTTCTTCAAGTACAACTCCCATTTGTACTATATAGCTAGTGAGTAACACGTAGGATTACTGACTGATGTTGAGGATGCTTAAATCGGACCGTAGAAGGCAGCCAGCTTTATCATCTAACGTTCTCTTTTTGCCTGCTGCTATTTTCCAGTTCCTTCTTGGTCTCTTTCCACTAACCTTTAAAAGTTTTTTAGGTCTGGGGATGATCATCCAGGCCAGATGCGACTTCCCTTGCTTTGGGAAGGGGTGTCGTAAGATCATCCCAGGGTGTCATAATTTCTGAATTACTTGCTTATTACTTTTGCTTAATACCTTCCTCAACGGTTAGTCTTTGGGAGGTACCAGTTAGGCAGCTTGTCTCAGTTGTTGGACTTGTTCCAACAACCAGGATTTTACTGTCAAAAACTTGCCATTGTCCCTTTTGGGTTTGTTTTTTTTTTGGGGGGGGCGGGAGGTGGGGCGGGGAGATGAGAATGGACAACCAATTCTCTCTTGTCCTTTGGGGGAATCAAATACTAGTTGTCAGAACTCTTTAGTTAGTAGAAAAACTGACCACCAGTGAGAGTAGTGTGTATCTTTATTATCACTGAAAGTATTTTACTTGGGCTTGATTTGGCAAACCAGGGAGGTAGAGCATAATAGCGAATTTATTCTTAACGCATGTTACGTTTGTGCAATAATAATGATGTTGCACACCTTGCTTGTTTCAGGCTTTTTTTAGACAGCAAATCTTCTTTGACAAATCTTTTTTGACAAATTTTTGTCACTAATTTTTTTTGGATAATAGCTTATTCATAGGCAGTAAAATAATCTGATGGTTGATGACAAGCTGTTATCCCAGCAGACTCACGATGCATAGCGTAATTGCCTTTCCTCTAGAAAAGACCAGTCTTTCTGGGGGGGATAAAAAGATCTATACCATCGACCGTCTTAAATTGGTCTGATGGTAGACTGGGGCGTTTTAGAAGAGGTCATTAAAACTTTATGCTGTCACGAATTGAGTGATACTTTCAGAGTTTACTTTCACCTTCAGACTTTAGCATGTGCTGCGCTTTCTAGGAATTGACTTACTCTGAAAATGAAGACGACGTGAAGGCTTTGAGCCTTCGCTGGGCTTGATTGTGTAGGGGTGGGGCTGGGCTGGGGCGTGATCCTGCTCTGGCAGTACCGGGAGCTGGAAGCTGTAATGCACAGGATTTTGAGAATCTGGTCTGTGAATTGACGTGTAACACCTGGCATTTCATTAGCAGACTAGACCATGAGGCACTCGGAAAGGAACTCTTGCTAGTTCAGAAGGGGATTGACTTGTCTGAAGTACTTCCTCCTGTCAGACCCAAGCTTAATTTCTTCTTACTTTTATGCTCTCATGATACTTAACTGCTGTTAATTCTTACTCTTTAAAATGTCTTTGAGGAATTACAAGTCCATGAAGGAAATGTGGACTTCCTGCTACCAAAATACCGCAGCATTTTGGAAGAGGCAGATCAGCTGCTTGAGGAATACAAGAGACAACCTGCACATCTCGAGAGACTTTATGGTTTGTTGATCAATTCAACTCTATTCAAATGCAACTTAATGTCCAGAGAGCGCGCTGGACATGACTGATATAGTTACGAAGTCAGTATTGGCAGAATTGAAATAATTTGATAAGTGGGTACACTTGGGTAGCTTCAGGGCAGCAGTAGGTATGTGAGTATGTTTGTCCGTTTGGTCATACAGCCAAGGCTGCATATTTACATAACGTTTTTGATAATAAAACTCTTAAGTTAAAAGGTGAGGCAGTATAACCGAGCACATACTGAAAATGGCTTGTATGCTACTACAAACTTCGAGTAACCCCCTAAAGGTTCTCAAGAATTGTTCACCTGAGAACTTCTAAAATTGATTTGGCATCACAAGCGTATCGCTGAGAATGAAAATACCAGGATTATTTGCAAGTGACTTTTCTGCTTTTTCTTTAATAGACAGCTTCTTGTATTCGGATGATCCTTGTCCTTATGGACACAATTAAGGATCGTCTTTAGATTCAGGATGGCATTTGAGAACGTGTACAAGTTAAATGAGTGAGTGAGTTCTGAGTGGTTAAGTTTTGCAAAACATGAGAGAACCAGAAAAATGCACATGGGGTGGGAAGGGGGACTCTGAGGAGAGGATCTAATTCGGTGAAGGAAATCCTGTAACCACCTCTGGTGTTCCCCGTACAGCTTTCAGCTCAGAGAATCTCTGCCGGGCACCAGCTTTAGTAAGCCTACGTATATACAGCGTGAGCAGAGTCCTCATCGCCCATCCCGTCATAGTTCCTCTCTCTTTAGTGTTTCAGATGTGGGTAATTCTAAGGCAGATATCCACACTTTGGAATGAAGCTGGAATCTGGGCTGTTCTAACAGTGGTTTGGGTTTGTTTAAAAGTAAATCAGTTTGAAATGTGAAGTTTAAAAGGAGTCTTGTCTAAACCCAGAATCAGCTAGAATAGTTGGGGTACGTAATAACGAGTTAAAAGTAGAGATACCTCATAATGAAAACAAGGCAAATAATAAGTCCTGGGATTTTACCTTTGCAGGTATGATCACAGATCTCTTCATAGATAAATTTAAATTTAAAGGCACCAACGTGAAAACAAAAGTTCCTCTTCTTCTGGAAATTCTGGATGGCTGCGATCAAGATGGACTAATTGCTTTTTTTGAGGCTGCAGCCTGACAAGGAAAAAGCAGAGTCATTTTCTGTCTTTTTTTTTTTTTTTTTTAATCGGGGCAGTTCAATATCAAGTCCAAAACACTTTTTAAGAAGAACGCTTTCACTCTTCTGCTGTCAGCTCTTGGGTTTTATTCGTATTTATCATCATACTGAATGCAGTAGTCAACTCTAGTGCACATAGGCTGTGTGTTAAACGCGCGTGGAGTTTCTGTGTATGCAACGTTCTCCATAGCTGAAGAAAACTTATGTCAACACCAGCTCCCCTTTTTGCAAAAAACACGTTTTCGGTACCGTGAAAGGCCCCGTGCGGCAGTGCCTTCGCCGGAACGGGTTTTCGAGAGACTTCACCGCATTTGGAAGAAATTCTCGTGTTGAGCTACGCCTGGCCGCGGTATTTGCCCGG